CTATCTCTTATTCTACAGTTAGTGTCTGTGGCATCAGGAATTGACCTCAGAGCCAAACTCTGCTGGCGGCAGCTTGGTGCAGGCACTGGTGCATCGGGGAAGGAGGTGGAGAAAGGTAACTTAAAGCCAGAAGGCCTTTTAGGGATAGGCGCATCAGATTTGGTCAGTGGTCAGGGATAGGAGGGTGCATGTGAGGCAGGATCGGGAGCCCCAAATGTAGAGATGGAAGAGCGTCAGCTCTTGCAATTTCTTGTATGGATGACTGGGCGCTGTAGGGTGGATGAGCAAATGGATCAAGATACAGGAATCCATTCTATTGAGGTTAGATAAAAAGAAATGTAGCGGGAATAAGGGATAGTCAGTGGGATAGATGCGTTTCCCTAAGCCAAAAATATAAGTCCAGATGGCTATGCATATTCCAGTGGAGCAGGCTTTAGGAAATCTGCCTCAGGCTGGATAGGAGCTTGCAGTGAGGGTGCAAGTTGTCCTGGTCCATGTGGGTACCAGCAACATAGATAGGAATAGGATAAAAGAATGGTTAAATGTCTTGTGGTGCAGTGGGTAGGTCACTATCTCTGGGCCCGAGGCTCTGAGTTCGAATCCCACTGCAGGACTTGAGGTTGGAGGAACACTTACTCATAATGTGGCCAAACAGATTGAGTGTCAACTTTAAAATCCTTCCGAGATATGCCAATGGCAGTCGGTGACATGATAGAAAGCAATTGGAGCCTCTACTGTCTCGAACCAGAGCTCCAGGCTGCAGCATATTTGTGAAAGAAAGTGTATGTTACCACAGTAACTCAAGACTTCTATAGGGAGCTGGTTGGCTGTGTTTACTGGATACCCTTCCTCAAAGAACAATGGAGGTTGGGTCATTGAATGTCTCTCAGGCTGAGTTGCAGGGAAGTCAAAGATCATGGGGGGGGGGGACAGTCACAAAGTAGAGTTGAGGTCACCATCAGATTAGCCATGACCTTATCAAATGAGCTCCAGGGACTGAATGTCTTATGCCACTGCTATTTCATGTACATATTTATAGATATTTTCCTAATCAACCTGTTCAGAGATGTTCTGACACGCCTCTGGAGCATGTCGGACTTGAATCCAGGCCTCCTGGATCAGAGAGAGGGGCACTACACCACAAGAGCCCCCAAAGACACTGCTATGACTTGATCTCCAGATTTCCCTGCTTACAAGACAGATACTTTAACCCACTGTGTATACTTACATGCTGAAGGCAATTATATCAGTGCAAACTATGTTGAATGAGTTTTGCATGAGTTCATTTGTTGTTAGTTGTTCACCAGTTGTTTAGTGCTCTGAAAGCAATTAAATGATGCTATGTGATCATAAATGATGTTGTTTGAGCTTTGTATGGTTTCATTTGATCTCTAATGACGTCAGTTGATCATAACTTGACTGAACGGGATATAAAATGATGGCTCTAAATCACTTTTGAACACAGATGATCACAAATGAACACATACGGGGCAAATGCAAAATGATGTTAAAGTCTTCTGGTAGCACTCCTGCTGTTGGGAAAGATTTGTTGCACACACACGATCAGCTTAAGGACACAGATACCACAGAATGAGCCGAATGGTGGTCTTTAAAGTGGAGGACCTCTCGCGTCTTACAAAGGCTGGTGGTTTTGCCTCATAACTTTATTGGGCCTTTCACCATGATGAAAGCGATCATTCCCCTGCCACATCTTCTGACGTACACAGTCACATGATCCCCCATGGACAGCGAATAGGGGCCAAAGCTGACCTGAAAGGGAGTGGTCGGCAGATGAATTATCCTCTTTCCCCTTCCTCCCACACCCCCTCACCCAACTTGCCACCGCGCCCCCTTTCTTACCAATTCCATTTGGCTTTCAACCCACCTTCATCCCTTGGATTTTTATGAAGCAGCCGGCCCGAGGAGCATCACAATTTGAATATTTCTGAATTTGCATCAGGAAGTGATGCTTTTTTAAAAGAAAACAAGTATTTTCAGAATGAGGGCAGTGTTGGAAAGTCTGACATTTATTGCCCTTCCTCTGTGCCATGAGAAAAATGAGCCACAAATAGTTTGCTGCTTCGAGCGCAGTTAAGAGACAATCAGGTGTAGACGTGGGGTTGGAATCATATATAGGTCAGACCTGGTAATGATCTTCCCTAAACAATATGCGCCAATCAGTTGGGATTTAGCTGATGCTTTGATCGACCTATCCAAATTCCTCCCAGTGTCCATTGCTTTGTCCCATAGCTCTGTAAATTAGTCCTCTTCATGCCTGGCTGCGCTGAGAAAGTTAAGTTGGCGTGTGATCCCACCATCTTTTCAAGTGGTGTATTCCAGATTAAACAAGTCTTTGTGAGAAGAAAATTTATCTTCATTTCATCCAGCACTTTTTTTTGGTCAATTATTTTAAGCTCTTGGCCTCTGGTTCCTGTCCCGTTTCCCAAGCAGAATAGTTTCTGCAGATTTGCTCTGGCAAAGCCCATAGTATTTTGAATCCCCGTATTAGGTCTCCAATTAACACCACCTTCTCTGCATCTGAATGAACTCCTTCAGCTCCTGCATAACATTCCCAAATAGGAGCCAGGCAAAACTCCAGAATAATCAGCCATCCCCAGTTCTCCATTATACATACATGATCTGGCACTCATTAAAGCCAATGGCTATCTGTTGAGTGGCTCCTTCAGCCATACTAAAGCAGTAAATACGACAGATAACCAGGAGACACTGGTAACACAGTGTGGAGCTGGAGGAACACAGCAGGTCAGGCAGCATCAGAGGAGCAGTAAAGTCAAAGTTTCGGGCCAGGACCTCCAACTGTGTGGCTTTTCCAACTTGTAAGATTATTCAGTGACACAGAAGGTATTCCCTGCTTAATCGTGGGAATTTTTCAGAAATGAAATGGTTAAAACTCTAATGACAGCGGGTTTGTCTTGTGGTGTTAGTGTCATCAAGGCAAACGAATTTGAATTCCCCTGAAATCCATAGAAATCCTACAGTGTGGAAGCAGGCCATTCAGCCCATCGAGTCCACACCGACCCTCTGAAGAGCACCCCACCCAGACCCACTCCCCTACCCTATTCCCGTAACCCTGCATTTCCTATGGCCAATCAACCTAATCTTTGGACTGTGGGAGGAAACCGGAGCAAATCCCATGCAGACACAGGGGGAATGCGCAAACTCCACATAGACAGTCGCCCGAGGCTAGAATTGAACCCGGTTCCCTACCAACGTGAGGCAACAGTGCTAACCACTGAACCACCATGCCACCCAAACTGTTCTCCTTCCCCAAACAGGAACATAATATCTCATGAACAGTGATCATTATTGTGTGTGTGTGTGTTTCGTGAGGGTGAGTTTGTAGAGAAAGTGTGCAATCAGAATTTGGGGATTCCCCGCACTCCCAATCAGAGGAAGACCAAGTGAGACAGATGGAGAAAGAGAGAGAGGCCCCAAAATGTGAGAGCCAAAGATTTGCAAGACAGCGAGTGACAAACGTGACAGAGGGAGCAGTGATTTGGCTTAATGGGCAACTTCTCTTTAAACGTACATCCCTGGTGCAGCCTGTAGTTACCAGGAGCAGTGCATTTCTGATGAGAAAAGATACCAGCTGTAAACATTCTCCCCCCTTTCTCTCCATCTATCTCCTCCTCCCCGTACCCCAGCTGAGCTGATAAGCGAGCACCTTGATTGTGGGATTTGCATGTCTAAATGTTACTTTGCCGACGTGCCGCAGATTTAGAGATCTTTTCTGTTACCTTTTCACAGTCACTGTGAGCCTTGCTCAGAGAAGAGAAAGCACTTGTTTATTCAGGATCCACAGAGCTGTAAATGTTCGTGTAAATTCACACATTTACGTTGCAAGTCAAAGAGGCTTGAGTTAAATGAACACAGTTGCAGGTTCGTCAGAAAAAAAAAGCTTGCTTCATGCTTTTTATTTTATTACTTTTTGACAGTGTCAGTGCTGTGTGCTCTCTTTTAATGGCGTCGGTTCCGTTGTGGGCCAGATTATCACCTTATTACATACCCATGGTCCACTGGGATTCATGAACTGTTAAATAAGGCTCTGGCTGTCTCCTGGGCCTGAATATCAGTTCTGGAAAGGTAAAGGTGACGAACCTCATGGAGAGGTCAGAGAAGAGAGGGGTCACAACTCTAGGAAGACAGCCACTCACTGGAGAGCTCAGGGGTTACCACTGGTCAGGGGGACCGGAACAGGAGAGGGAGGTAAGCCAGTCGTTTAAGTTCAGAAACTTTACCACATCACTGACCAAATTCTGTTTTTAAAACTGCAGTGAATCAAATGGACTTTCGAAGCAACGTAGAATTCCTAAGGCCTGATTTTATGGCATCCCAGTGGACTATTGGGTCCTCATCCTATTTAGATACTCCCCATACCTGGTCATTCTCCACTCTCAGGTTCAGCTCCAAGCCCTGGGATCTTCCCCAAATACAGTGCTTAAAGAAAACTCCCAGGAAAGTCGTAGCAGTAAAGTAAGCTTCCTCCTCTCCTTTCTTGGCTGCCTCCTCCATCCTTTGCCTCCTCTCTTCTCGAGACATGGGTATGTAATAAGCAGCTTATCATATGGGCGAAAGGTTTGATCTCCTTGATGTAGGAAGAGTTTGCTAAACAAATATCCTTTCTTCCTCACTGAGATCAGAAGCCCATATGATAAGTATTGCTGGTCTCGGTTTGCTCTGAAATGTATTATCTGCATGCTGGCTGTCTTGAATATATTAACATTATTGTTCTTCTTTATTTGCCTGATATTCTATGGTGGATAGCAACTATTATATAATGCCGTGTCCAATCCTTGGCATTGGCAATGTTTAATGTGGCTCAACAATGCCCCCTTTCTAGCCCCTGAACTGGCATGATGCCAGGAAACAATAACTTAACAGCAGTAACAGAATACAGAGGTGTGTGTTATCGGTAAACCTTCAGCATTGCTCCCTTGGCTGACCACCTTATTACTCAGAAAAGCCTGTGGAGTTGATTTTGAGAGTGACGGACTTTCTTTGTAATGTAAGGCCCCAAGAAATAGGAACAGGAGTAGGCCCCTTGAGCCTGCTCCACCATCCAATAGGATCATGGTTGATCAGACATTCCTCACATCCGCTCTCCTGCATTTTCCCTGTAACCCTTGACATACCAACACACACTGTAGGAATATTAAATCCGCATTGCCTCTTCCCTCATCTCACTGTCCTGGTTAATTCAGTTTGTCTCTGGTAACAAATCTGCAAAGCACCTTGGGACACTTCCTCTGTGTCAAAGGCATTGGCTGAATGGAAACTGTGGTTTCTCGTAGGGCCCAGTCCTAAATTTGTAAATAAAACAAAGAACTGCGGATGCTAGAGATCTGAAACAAAAACAGAAATTGCTCTGTTTCTCGAAATGCTAACTCTGCTTTCTCTCCAAATTTGTAAGGTCCCCTTAATTTCAATTTCCCTTGATCTCAACACCCTGTCTAATTAAATCTAACTTGCCTCTTGGTTACCATGACTGGAGAGCAAAGGGAGTTTTAATCAACTTAATACTGCCAGGCCATGACACAAAGTGCCCTCTTATGTGAGCATTGGTGGGCACAGCTAAACTTGTGGTCTGAATGATGAACAGCAAGTGAATATTAGAGAAATCCTGATAATCTTGCCAATTCTAACTCCTGGAGGTGTTAGTGGTTGTTTGATGATCAGTGCTGGAAGTGAAGTTCAATATGGGCCTTACCAGATGCACCATCTCTGAACTGGGCAGGGCATGAAGCCTCATTGACCAGACCTCAACGTGAGTCATCACTGCACATCTAAGTCCTCTATTTCTCGAAGTACTTTGGTTTGTCCCTTAGATTTTTTGTGGGAACTAGAGTTTTTGGAGTTCAACACGTTGCTATTTGATTTTTTTTTATATCAACCTATCCTGCTCCTAACTCTCTTTTGTAAAGTGCGGAAAGGCCCACTTTGCCCGTTCACTTTCCTGGGATATTAGCTGCAAAATGTTCTGCCAGAATCCCATTTCTCATTCCTCACAGGCTAATTATTAACTTGTCGTTTGAACCTTATGCCACAGTCAACAATCCGCACGGTTATGTTCGTCGATTGTCCTCTCTCAATCTTGAAAGGTTACATGTGCCCATAAACCCCTGTTTTTCAAAGAGAAATTAATTAACCTTCCCCTCATAACTCTCTCTTACCACGATTGTTTAATAGCTGATGCTAATAATGAAGGTGAGCAAATGGTGCTTGACTCTGTCAGGTCAACAGGGAAGGGTATTGGGGGAGGGTGCGTGGCTCTGCTGTAGCACCTTGGCTAAATCATTACTGACAAAACCAGCAACACTAAACAATTATTGCTGAACGAGAAGGGGAGAAAAGAGTTGGAAAATATTAGACATGACTCACGGGGACAGCATCCTCGGTTATAACCAGTCAGGTGACGAGTCGCACTTGATATAGACGATAACTCATTTGAGCACACTCACAGTGCCTCTCCTTCACTTCCCTAAATGTCCCCAGACAGTCCCTGAAGTGCCCAGGAGCCTGACCAATGTTTTCTTTGCCCATCTTTGGGTACTGAGGCCAATGACAGTGCCCACTCAATCGCCTTGATGTTTTGGTTGGGTAGAACCTACAAAGTCATAGACATGCCAACATCGCGCACCCCATGTTATTCCAACACGAGGTGGCACCTATTTCCCAGTGCGTTTTCTTTGACCCTGCTGACATAATGTAACTTAGGGCATAACATCTACTTATCTTGGATAATTGGCAAGTAGCTCTTGCCAATACAAGTGCCTTTAGTTCACCTTCAAACCTGACAGAACATCAACATCTTCAACTTTCCATTACTGGACAGGTGAGGTTAGGGTTCTCTCATCCCTATTACTCTGGGCCCTTCATCTTTCTCATCCAGAATGCTACAACCTCCAACCCAATCCCAACCAAGTTTGGCAATGATAACTAGTGGTGGTATAACTTACTCATAATGCACACCTCTTTTATTCATTACTGTATACAACAACATTAACAGTAGTTCAGCATGTGGGACTGCTTGGCATTTTCTCTTGCTTTACCTTAAATGTGTATAACCAGAAATAAGTTGCTTACCCAGTAGCCGTTTTGTTGCCCAATCCCCAATCCCTGCAGATCTCCAGAATAACACCTGTTTTCCCTTTCCTTTCTGCATTCGTATAGCATGTGTGACACTCTCCAAAGTGGGGCTTTTGGCACAACTTGCTGCCTGTTCGATTCAGTTGCCCCATTGGCGTGTTAGGTGTGCTGGAGGGTACAGGCATTGAAAGGCAAGACAGCAACCTCCAGTCAGCTTTGATGAAGTCTTGGGCCCTCCCACCAAGGCTCATTTTGAATATTATTATTGTGCTTTAAAAGAGAGCAAATGAATCAGAAGGCAATGGGGTAAGGGGATGCCATTTTTGGTTTTCAAGAGCCCTCTGTTGGAAGAAAGACAGACCAAGGAAGAGGGTCAGTGGAACTGAGGTAGTGATCAAGCACTAACTAAACAGTGAAAAGGATTGGAGGGGCCAGATATTCCAGAGTTTGATATCCAGGGAAAGTGTGGGTATGAGGAGGAGAAAGGACAAAAAAATCCGGATTTGATCATTGCATAAAGGGGAAGAGATTTTAAGGACAACGATGTGTTTGTAGCTAGACACTAAAAGTATTGATCAATTAGAGAAAGAAAAAGGATTAATTGTTGCAAGTGTAAATAGAGTCCTTCATTTCATGGATCTCCCAGGGTCAACTACAATTCCTGCACACACCAGAGAAAGCGAACGACTCAGAAACCAGGCCTTGGGAGGCTCTGAAGCAATCCTTCCTTCTTTCCTATCTGCGAAATGGGCAGGAGCTTGGCAGTGTCTACTAAGCAACCAACGCTGAGTGAGGTACCATCAAGAGACCTCACAACACAGGGGCCATGAACTGGAGCATGACACCGGCTGTGCATCCCTGCTCACTGAGGTCTGAAACCCACCGAGATGAGATCCTGAATCCTCCTGGTTTTCTCGCGGCCTCGGCCTTGGGATTTGTGGCTCTTGTGCTAACCTGTGCAGCCTGGTCCTGCAGGCTGTAGTCAATGAGAGGCCTTGGCTTTTTAACCTGCATCTTCACAACCAGGACAGGGCTGCCTTCACCCACCATCCTGGGAGCAACTGGAGAGTTGACGCTCACCAATGGATCGAAACAAAGAGATTATAGAGACCACTAGGATCTGAAGCAATTTTTTATATCAGATAGGGTTATGTTACAGGGTCAGGACAAGCACCAGGTAGCCTTGGGCTGATGCGAGGGGCCTAATCTTGGAAGCAGAACCCACATGAGGTGAAGATCGGGCACACATGCTCCCTTAACAGAGGTTAAGATTTCTTTTCTTCAATGAAAAGCCATTGGATGTGCTTCCGAGATGTCATACAGACGAAAGGAAAGTCTGACACGTAGGAACTAGTATATGGAAGAAAATGCAAAACATGTTCCACTCAATCCTTAGGGAACTCTGTGCCCTAAGATCGAAGAGAATTACTTTAACAGGCAAATGGTGACTCACTGAAGAATCTTGCCTCCAAGAGTGTCCATTCACAAGAACACATAGCATGTGGGAAGAAAGACCATTTGAAAGTACCTACTTCTCCAAGTCAAAATCTCCCCCATGAAAGTGAGACCCATTCTAAGGTTAATCTCAGATAGTAGTCACCCTATCCCTGCACCTCCCCCCAAATTGATGTGTTCGTCCCACACACACACACACACACACACACCCCTACATACATACATACACACACACGTACACCTACATACACACAAACACACACACACAGACATACACACACACACACACACACACACATACACACATACATACATACAAAGACACATACATACATACACACACATACACCTACACACACACACACACACACAACCGAAAACCAATGAGCCGGGGAGCTCATCACCGCTGTTTGCCCTGCTCTTCTGCAACTGACCATTGGTTTAATGACTTAGCAGAATAATAGGCACATCCCACTTTCTTATGCGGGACCTTTGTCGCCATCCTCCCGGTCATTGAAGCAGCTACAAGAATTGCAGGAATGTGTGAACAAACTGTTTTATTAGCTCTTTGATAGCCGTGCCATGCATTGTCACAAGAGTTTACATAAAAGGGCAGATTGTTTGCAAGTAATCACATGGAATGAACTGCTGGGGCTTCATTAGCGGTTTTAATTGAAGCCGAAACAATTTTTATTTACCTTTCAATCATTAACGTTACCTCGTGTCGAGTTCCAGGCAGTCGGTTGGCTGTGTAACCTGCTGCTACAGCAGAAGGGCAGAACGAGGAGGAGAACAAGGAGAGACGGACTGCAGAGTGAACTGGGAGGGGGTAGGGACAGAAGTGTGTAAGAGAGGGGAAAGGAGGCTTAAAAATGAGGATCCAGAACCAGAAGGTGCTTTGTTTGTGGCACGTACGGGGCTCTAGTCAAATAGGCAATGACCTCTCGACAGTATGTCAACTTTCCAACCATCTATACCCATTCACCATTCCCTCCCCCCTCAACCCATACCAACTAGAGGAATCATCAATGTGTGTTAAAGTCATCTGGGGACTAAAGGGCCTCTTCATGCCTGCTATAAAACATAGGCTGGTTACAAAGCTAATACTAATTCGACCACAGTGAGACCTAGGAACCGATATACATCTATCTGTCAGTTGTATAGGAATTATAGGTTCGTCAGGTATAGTTAGTCAGGTGGGGGGGGTGGTGAACTAAGGTGGGAGGGGAGCTCTTCCACCCTCCAAAAAAAAACACCTACCTGTTCGCTTCCAGAGAAAGCAACAGGCAATGTCACAGGGTGTAGACCCACAGCTGAAAACCTCATTGCGTTTGGTCTTAAGCAACACGTTTGACCCCTTACAGGGGCAGAAGCCGTAAGAGTGTGGGGGTAGAGGAAGGGGGGTGTGGGTGGAGGGCATTGGCCATTTCTGCCCGTGTTCTTGGCACAGTCGGCCTCACCAACGAGACCAAAGGTGACCCGTTCTATTTCCATTAAAACACAAACCAGTTATCCACCATCGGATTTATTTTTTTTTTGTTGTTTTGCAGCCAGTTTCTGTAGATTGTCGCCTGGACCCTGAGCAGATGCCCCGTCTTATCAAATTGATTCCATTGGGGGAGGGCGGGTGGGTTTGGAAGGAGATGGGAAAGAAAGTGTGGAGGTGGGGGAATGGGGAAATAGTTCAGGAGACTGGGGCTGATTGATTGGAAAGCTGTTTCAAAGGACTAGCAGTCATACACAATGGGCCCAATGGTCTCCTGGACAATATCATTCACTTGGGATCCAATTGCTTTGTTTTTTTACTTGAAAGTGGACAATTTCTCTCTCACGGTGGGTGGGGGGGTGGTGGGCATCTGTTCATTTCCATGGCGACACTCTAACCAGCTTATAACAATTTTTTTTAAAAAATGTTTATGGTTAAGTACTAAAACTGTAATAATATTAACATACACGGGTTTTGTTTTAAACTGTGTATTTCCTTCATGTGAAAGTAATGTTTGCCTGACGAGACAATGCAATAGGACAGTTGAATCTGTTGTTGGTGGGGTCTCGTATGACTGTATACATGACGCCTGTAGCTGTCTCACAATTACATGCTATACCTGTGCTCTGTCTGGAAAACAGGCATTCACTCCCCAGCTCACAGCCTCACTTGCTTACCTCCAAAAGTCTGCCCCTCAGTCAAATCCTGCACTGGTATTTGAGTGAGATGCGATTGACCAATGAGACAGTATTTAAAGGGCCATCGCTTTCTGGGAAGTGGCTGTGCCAAGTTACTTCTCCCTGGGCTCGGAAATTCCAACAGGATTTCTGAACAGGTCATTGCATCCGTACTTCCTGGCAACTAAAATCAAAGGTTTGGTAACGTCATCCCCTTCAATAAAAGCTAAGGTAGTGCGGATGCTGGAGAAGGCGTGCCACATGTATCTCTCCACGTGGCCCGTTGAGTTTCTTCAGCACTTTCTGTTTTTATCCCTTCGTATAAAGCTTTTATAATAATGGAAGTTATTTTTTTCTGAATGAACAATATGTGAACTTTTCAACTGCACATTGACAGACTCCACAATCGTATTCCAAAAGTAATTTATGGGATCAAACGGGCTTTGGTGAAGGACTTGCTGTGCGGCCTACAAGATTTGCCGATGCCATCTAAGCCAACATTGGCCAACTTGGCAAAACGCCGCATGGTTCCCTGCATCTTTCCATCTCCGCCCACTTCCACAAGACACTGGTATAAAGATTGGCTGCATTCCAGGTTTGTTTACTAGTTAGTCAACTGATATCAACAGGCATAGGAAGGCTAAAGGCTATGTGGACAAAGCAGGAACCAAGGCAGTGAGATGGATGATCAGCCAATACTAAATGGTGGAGCAGGCACGAAGGGCTGAATGGCCTACATCTGCTCCTATTTCCTATATGTTTCCAAATGCAATCAGCCATGATCTAAGCAGGAGGAGAGTGGGGGTGCTGAACTCCTCTTCCTACGTTCCTGGGTGGGCTAGATGAGAGAGAGGTTAAATTTGGCCATTCTGCAACCCCCGACCCAGGTCCGTGGGTGGGGATCCATCCAGATGCTCTGTTTCTGGGACCTTCCCCTGTTGGAATCTGGCATCTTCCTATCTTGCAACCTCTCTCCACGTTGCCCTCCCTCCATCGCAAACCCTCTTCCTCACACATAGCCAGCTGAAGTTCCAACCAGATTTTTCCAGTCGCTCTAAGGTGGACCATGCCTTGCCTGGAGTCAAGGTAAGGCTCAAAAGCAGTTGAAGATATCCTGCCCTGGTGGAACCAAACACAAACCGAGGTCTGAGTCCACTGGAGAGGAAAGAGAAGTGGGACAGTCTGTCAGAATGTAGATGAAGGGCACAACTATGTGTTGGCTGCGCCTCCATTATCGAACCTCTACTGACCCCTGTGTCTTTTTTTTCTCTCTCTCTCTCTCTCTTTCTTTCTTTCTCTGTTTCTCGCTGCAGGTGTGAAAAACCCAGGAGATGAGAGCGGAGGCGTAGAAACGTGATATATTTTCGGTTGGTTTTCTAATCATTGCTTATTTTAAAAAAAAGGTGTCTTTTTTTTGAGAAAGAAGACAGAGACATGAAGGATAGAATGAGCACAGCACTTTGAATTCAATACAAAAAGATTTCCAGAGGCAAATTTATAAAAAAAAACAAGAAGAGTCATTCCTGGGAAGAAGGCCTTCAATGATTCATGGTGATATATAATTCTAAAGAGGCCGAGTATTATACAAACACATGCTGCTAGGATTACTTGGAAAACTGTTGGTGAAGAGATGAATCCCAGATCTTCTGATTCTATTCATTGGGTCATTCTTTTTAAAACATATATAAAACTCAAGCTTGCGAAAGACTTCTTCTAATGATTGAAGATCTAAATATATCTTATATAAATGTATGGACGCTTAGAAGCTTCAAGTCAAAGACCCGCCATTTTCCAGGGAATGCTGAACAAGGAAAAAGATGTTTTAATTGGAAGGGTTGGACTTCAGGCTGGGGCGAGTGTGAAAGTAACAACACGTGCCTCAGGACTCTACTTTTCAAAACAGAATTGGAGACTTCACTAACCTCCCCCCCACTCGAACTAACAGCACCCACGCAACCAAATCTGGCAGAGACTGGAAGCCTAACCGTCGAAGAGGACCCAGCTGGGAGCCCCAGAGGACTTGATTCTCCAAGACCCTCTCTGTTGGGAGAAGAATATTCCAATCCTGTACACTCCCACCGCCCTACCCAACCCGCGCCCAACACCACCCACCGCACCCCTCAAACTCTCTACCCGACAACAACCTGAATCGTGTCACCAAGGAACCTTTGTGAAAATTTGGGTCGCTACCACTGAAACGTTCAAAAGGGGACATCTGGGTCACAATGAGGCAACAGACGGGGGAAATGAGAAAGGACTGCAGAGGTACATAATCCGACGAAAGAACGAAACCAAAGGGCTGGGAATATTCTGCAGAGGAGAGGCTGGAAATGGTTTTTGCTGCTGGCCTGGCCGTACCTTTCTAAGGCCGTGCACGTGCGTGCGTGTGTGTGTGTGTGTGTGTATGTGTGTGTGTGGAGTTGGTAACTTTAAGCCTATTTGCTGTTTTGTTTTTGTCTTCTAGATTATAAACTCCCCGCACCCCTTCCCATCTCGATTGCAAAAGGAAGAACCCCCACCCCCAACATAAAGATTAGCAAATAGTTTAACATTTCTCCCCTGTTCACCTGTGACTCACTGACCTTTCCTACAGATTCAGTTACTCCTTGGGGGTACATTGACATTTCTGATTTGCTCCATTGAAAGATGGCAGATGTAGAACATCGCTGGGGTTGTGGGGTGCGCAGTGAGGAGAGGTGTTGGGGGGACATCAAACGGTTAAAATCGGGTGCAGTCCAGCTTTGTAGAATCAAACACAAAGTTCTGAGGAAGGGTCACCGGACCCAAAATGTTAACTCTGTTTTCTCCTCCACAGATGCTGCCAGACCTGCTGAGCTTTTCCAGCAACTTTGTTTTTGTTCCTGATTTACAGCATCCGCAGTTCTTTTGGTTTTTATTTTGTCGAATCAAAGACTGGTTGTGACTGAACCCCTTATGGAGGAAAACAACAAAAACAGGATCAGCAATGTTGGACTCGCTTTGGGGTCTGAACTGAGCGAGCACTATGCTGCCAGAACGCCCACCATGATCCAGCAAAGTGCCCCTCCCCACACACACATACACACACACATGGACGAGGGCATGGACCCCATTTAATTAGGGGAGAGGGTGGGCAATGAGACTGTGCACCATTGATGAACCCTTCATTAAGCGTTCATCCCGTACATAAAGATTGGGACCTTGAGTTGTGGGTGTAGACCGAAATCATCCCGAAACGCAATTTGGGACCGAAAGCCAAGGCCCCAAATCAAGGGGCAGCACCCATTGTCTTAGAAGATATTGGAGATAATCACTTGAGCTCTACTGATCCTGAATCCATATCCCTATGGGTCTTGTTTATGTTGGGAGGGGGAGTGGGTCAGTCGGTGAAAATATACTGTGTAAATTTCTGTTAAATTCTTCAACGCAGCAGAAGCGAATCTTGTGAAGCAGTGTTAAGTGTACTTGCATTTTGTTGGTGTTTTACAGTTGTCACGACAATTCATATACCCTCTCTGGCATGGTTCTCCCCACCTCCCACCAACACAACAACCTTGTTCCTGGCCCCTGCAACCCCTCCTGAAGCCCCCAGCCCAACCCTGACCCATCTCTCCCCACTTCCTCCACCAAACTGTAACTAATATGGTGGCAGCAATACCTCGGGCCTGGGTCTATGAGTAGCAGTGACCAGTTGGAGAGACTGCTCTCCACAGCACCCTCCTGCACCCCTCCCCCAACCCCCGATATTGTGAATTGAAGCACATTCCTACACATATAACACACGTTGTACACTGAGCTGGCTTGCTCCAAATGGTAGGCTGGATTCTGGTCTCCATGACCTGGGAAACAAATGAACACCCTGGCCAAAACAAAACCAAACAGGATACACTGCGTGCCAGAAACACCCCTAATCACCAACATTTCCATAGCGTTTCAATCGATTAGAAAATCAAAGCAGGGATCTACTGCAGGCAAACGACCTGATTGCTTTTTCTCTTTACATTTGGCACTTCGCCCAGGTGCTGCTTCACAATATGAGACAGAAACACCTAGCCCAAATGTACCCGCTCCTAGACCTGCTCCTCCTTTCCAAGACACCCTCACCTTCCCTGAAAGGCTGATGCTTGAAGGACAAACTTAAAAACTAACTGTTATGAACTGCTGTGTACTTTGGAGTTAAGAAAATGATTGGATTAAATTGTGTATTCAGCCTGTTATAAATTAAGAGAAGGAGGGGAACGAAAGAAAAATTCACAACAGTGATTCTTTGCGCAATGTTTATAGTCACATTTTTAGTATATTTTTTTGTCACTTAAAGTATATTTATTGGTGCTACTGTCTCTCTGTTCATAATTGTTAAAAGAATACTGTTTAAATATTAACAATATTATTTTGTGTAGTTAATTATTCCGTAGCATCACATATTTATTTTTAAACTAAAATATCTTAAGTGTTTTTTATTAAAAAAATTGTAATTGTAATTCTTTGTTGTGTCTCCATCGTAATTGGAAAGAGTGAGGGGACAGGTGATTGTAACATTAAAGGAGAGTTTGGATTAATGCAGCCATTCTCACAACACTTACAACTTAGAGCCCACCAATAGATGATATCGAGTCCTGTAAATGGTGTGCTTCACATCAACTTATCGTTCACATGGCCGCCATCTTGGATTGGGTCCTGACAGGGTTGACCAAATTTCTCGCCAGTTTCTTGGGTTCCAAGATGGTTGGACTACTTTCATTGTGAAACCTTTATCTGGTTTACACTGGACAGCGGGTGATCTTACCAGAAGGATTCCTAATGGATCCCTACCATATTCTGTTCTTAAGATAGCCTGGGAAACCCTCCATTTTATGTATTTTGGCCAAATGGAAACTGTTTGACCTATCACAGGCTGCCCACAACTGGCCAAGAGGGAAATAGCAGGGACACCCTCGCCCCAACCTGCCTCTCCACCCTCGCTGCACCTCCACTTTCTTCACTAACGGTTCAAATTTCATGCCCCCCTGCAACAAATTGAGCAAAACCTAGTTCTCAAATGGTTGAATGGTTTAAGACCCCAGGGAGAAGACTTGAGAAAGTGTGTGTCCAGCCCAGCGTGTTTCAAACAACAATGTAAATGGTCCATGGAACCGTTCACAGCTCTGTTGATGTTGGCTCGGCAGGAGTCATTGCTACGTTTGCTGGATGGATTTTGGACCCAGCAATTTGACCCAATGCCAGCTGTTAATTTTGATGAAAGTGTCCTCATAGCCAGTGGTTACATAGAAAGCACGATCCTTTCGGGGATGCAGGTGGGTCCACCAGTGTGAGTGGGAATCTCTCTTGTTCTTGCTGCCTGCCTTTGGCATGTGTGAGAAGCTTGACTGTCGGGCCCCATGATGAATGTACAACTTAGGAGCAGAAGTAGGCCAATCTGCCCCTCAAGCTTGCCCTGCCATTCAATATAGCTGATTTGTTTGTGTTTCAAATCCCACATTCCTGACTACCCCCCAATTACTGTCTTGCCTAACACGCATGTATCCACACCTCCGCCTTCTAAGGTAAAGCGTTTCCAAAGACATGTGGCCCTCTGAGGCCTCCCTTCTGAAGAAGGGTCCAGACCCGAAACATCAGCTTTCCTGGTTCTCTGATGATGCCTGGCCTGCTGTGTTCATCCAGCTCTACACCTTGTTATCTCTAGCCCTCTGAGAGAATGTTTTTTTTCTCATCTTTGCTGTGAAAATGCAACCCTCAATTTTTAAACAGTGGCCCCTTGCTCCATTCCACCACCCCTTCCCACACAAGAGGGCTTTTCAAAATAACGAGCGGGCTGGACATAGTAGACAGGGAGAAGCTGCTTCCGCTCGTGAAAAGAAATAAGAATGAGCTTCATCCAATGTCCCTGTGGAATGCACTGCCTGGAAATGTATTGGACACAGGCTCAAAACAGACATTCAACAGGGGTATTGGATGATTAGAAATGTTTTGCAGGGAGATGGGAAAAAGTTGGAACTGGATAATAGAGCCTGACTGGATAACAGAATGGTTACAGGCATGATGGACTGAATGGCCTTACAACAACTCTGTGGTTCTGTGAAGAGGAAAAATCAGGCCAGATATTCTGATTAATGACGGAACAGATTTGAGGGGCAGTAATCCCCTTTAAAATGAACTGCTTAAGTGTCGGAGACTTTTCTGGCCAGGGGTGTGAGTCTGGTCTGTCCTGAATGTGTCGGTTGGAGTGAACCGGGGAGGAACCTACTCAGGTGTCACATCACACCCCCCCCTCCATGACACCAGCTGCAGTCTTTCAGGAGATGCAGATCCAGAAGACCCTTTGCGCCAGTGACTGAGGTAAGTTCATCGTGGATGGCAAGCAAGGGGTTAGGGTGATCCCTGGGGGTAGCTGTTGTGTCTGCGGGCATGGTGGGGCTTCTGTGCAGCCCAGCTAGGCCAGGTTGCCTAGAGGAGGTCTGGGGAGTGTTGTATGGGAATGGGGAGGTCAGTTTTGAGTCGAGCAGTCAGTTTAATTGTTGCCAGGCACTAGAGAGGGTTTTTAAACCTTTGACTTGTCTCAGCTAACTATTAAGCTTAAGCAGGGTGGAACTCTCCGGCTTCTGTGACATCAATGGACTTTTCTGGAGGGCTCCAGGTGCTCAGGTTGTTCAGTGGACATGTCGATTTCGTGGTCAATTTCCACGGAGTGAGCAGAGTCAGGAATTCTGCAAGGTCTCAGCGTCCAATTCCAGTCTGCGGTGCTCCATGTACCTCGACAATCGTAATATTGGGGCTACCTTTTCCAGGCCTGCCTTGTCAAACACGTCTTAGATACTTCAATCAAATCACCCTTCACACTTCTAAACTCCAGTCAAAGCAAGCCCAGCCTCTCCAACTATTTCTCATTGAACAATCCTCTTATCCCAGGTATCAATCTAGTAAACCTCTTCTGAACTGCTCCCAATGGCCATCCTTCCTTGAATAAGAAGATCCTATATAACTTAAGCATAACATTCTTATATTCATGTTCAATTCCAGTCCATAATAATCAATAACATTTTAATTAACCTTTTTAATTACTTGCTGAATGTACATTCTCATTTTGTCGACTCCTGCATTAGAACACATAATTTGCTTTTTGAATTCTGGAGTTATTCTCTGTTTAAGTAATGTTCTACTCTTTTAGTCTTCCTGCTAATTGAACTACTTCCTACATTGTACTCCAGCCTATCTATATCTGTCTGCAATATTATTGTGTACTCTTCACAATATACCTTGCTATCAATCTTTGTGTTTTCTACACATTTAGCTGCCATACCTTTGCTCCCCTCAACTAAGTCATTGACGTAAATTGTAAAAAGTTGACTAGCACAGACAATTGTGGAACCTTGGCCATCTGACTGCCAATCAGACAAAAACCCATTTATGTATGCTGCCTGTTTTCTAACAGCGAGCCAATCCTCTACCTTTGAAAACAAGTTACCCTCTGAAGCAGGAACTCATACTTTTGCACATTAACTTTTATGTGATGTGAATTGCCTTCTGAAAATCCAGGTACTGTGGGTCTCCAGGCTGCCCTTTATCCACAGGATTTGTTGTTCCTTCAAAAATTAACTGCCAACAAATTGGTTAAAGAGAAATTCCCTTTCATGAAGCCATGCTGACTCTTCCTGATTACCTTGAGATTTTCTAAGTGGCCAGCTTTAATCTCTTTAATGAAAGATTCTAATGCAGAGATATACCAGGATGTTGCTGGGTACAGAAGGTTTGAGTTATAAAGAAAGGCTGGATAGGCTGGGACTTTTATCACTGGAGCATAGGAGGTTGAGAGGCGACCTTATAGAAGTTGACAAAATAATGAGGGGTACAGATAGAGTTAATGGTGGTTTTCTTTTCCCTAGGATGTTGGGGGGGGTGGCGTGGTTTCAAGACTAGGGAGCACATTTTTAAGGTGAGAGAAGAGAGATTTTAAAAAGATATGAGGGGCTAAGTTTTTTACACTGAGGGTGGTTTGCATGTGGAATGAACTTCCTGAGGAAGTGGTGGATGTGGACATAAGTACAAAACTTAAAAGACCATTTGGATAAGTACATGAATAGGAAAGGTTTGGAGGGATATGGGCCAGGAGCAGGCAGGTGGGACTAGTTTAGTTTGGGATTATGTTCGGCATGGACTGGTTGGACCGAAGGGTCTGTTTCCGTGCTGAATGACTCTGTGAGTCTATGACATTCCCCGCAAGAGAAATTAAGCTAACTGGCCTATAGTTTTGTGTTGTTCGCATCCTTCCCTTCTTGAATAGAGGGGTTACATTTGCTACTCCCAGCTGGATAGAAACCTCCCTGAATCCAGCAAATTTTGGAAAATGAATACCAATGCATCTTTAGCAACCTCGTTTAAGATCCTAGGGTGAAGTTTATAAAAACATGAAGACTTGTCAGGCCACAGTTTTATCAGTTTGCCCCAATATCACCTCGTGATTGTTATTCACTATGTTCCTCACTTGATTTCCCCTCCTGTTTCACAGCTATTAATGAAACATGTTTTATACCTCTATAGTGAAGACAGAGCAAACTATTTGTTCATTTCATCCACCATTTCCTCATTATTACTATTAACTCCCCATTCCCGCTGTCTTAGAGAGCCAACACTCACTTTACTAACACCTTTCCTTTTGCATTGTCTATAGAGTCAACCACATTGCTGTGGGTCCAGAGTCACGTACAGACCAGACCAGGTAAGGAAGGCAGATTTCCCTTCTCTAATAGTGAAATCATTAGTAAACCAAATGCATCTGCAGTTCTTGCTATCTCTGAGTGAGTAAAGCAGATGGGTTTTCATGATAATGGTCAGTTACATAGTCAACATTAGGTCAGCTTATAATTTCACATTTTGATTGAATGTCAATATTTGTCATGGTGGGATTTGACCCTACATCTTTTTGTTATTAGGCAAGGATTCTGGGATGTTAATCTTGAATCATTTCCACTATGCCCCAAAGAGGATTGGCAAACAACCGCAGAGATGGTTATTAGCAGGCTAAAACTAGCAAGGATTTCGACTATTTAGGATTTATATCAATGGCTTAAATGAGCACACCTGGTATGACATATACAGGTTGACTAGTGTTTCCAAATTAGGTGTAAGAGTAAGCTGTGAGGACGATGCAAAGAAGTTGCAAAGGGATATCATCAGGTTAAGTGAGAGTACAAAAAGGAGAAAAGGAAAAGACTAATATTACATAAAAAGTGATGAATTAGAAAACACAATCAGAGAGACCCGGTTGTCCATAAATGCAAATAACGGAAAGTTAACATTGAGCAAGCAATTAGAAAGAAAATGGCATGTTATCCTTTAATAGAAAGCTATTGAGTTACAAGGATTTATTTTCAAAATTCATTCATGAAATTTGGGCCTCACAAACTGGTTAATATTTATTGAGAGTTAACTACACCTTCCATTTGTCTAGAGCCACATGTAGGCCAGGCCAGAAGGGTCCAGACCC